TCCCTTTAAACTTTTTAGACATGGAGTTATTGTCAAGACAAAATTGTAATATCGATTTAACATAATATTATCAACATGTTCAACTTTTTTTAGAATAAAGGTAAATGTAAAAAAAATATTTTGAAAAAGACACCGCTTATCCCTTACAGACATTACACCATTTATTTGTATAATATACCTAGGTAATAAGTGACAGATATTGTCATTAATAAATACGGTAATGTTTAAGGTTATGGACATTGATTACAAACCACTGAGCAAACCATCAAAAGAAGAACTGGCTTGTGATATTGAAGACCATCAAGCAGCTGTACAGGTGTTAAAACAGATCAAAGAAAAATATAAAAAGACAACAAGCGCTTCCGAAAAAATTATCCTGTTGACATTAGCACCAAAAACGTGGGGGCGAAAGAAATTAACATGCGAATTCAATGCATCGGAACGTCAAGCTAGAAAAGCCATACAGTTGGTGAAAGAAAATGGTATTTTAACCTCTCCATTACCGAAAAAGAGTAGAATTTTATCACCTGATGTTGAGAAATTAATTCTCGATTTTTATACTGATGACGACAATAGCCGTATGTTACCAGGAAAAAAAGATTTTTTGTCTGTAAAGAAAAAAGATGGTTCACGTGAACACGTACAGAAAAGGCTAATTTTATGTAATCTTTCAGAGTTGTATTATAATTTCGCACAGCAAAACTCTAATGTTAAGGTATGCCTTTCGAAATTCGCACAACTTAGACCGCGAAATTGCGTACTCGCTGGATCTAGCGGAACTCATACTGTGTGCGTTTGTATTCACCACGAAAATGTTCATCTTATGTTTGATGCTATCAACATCGAAAGGTTGACTTCTGATTCGGATTACTTAATCGTTAATTATCGTGATGCGATTGGAATGGTAGTATGTGCAAACCCAGGGCCGAAATGTTATTTAGATAATTGTTCATCATGTCCAGGTATAGAAAATTTTCGAAGCCACTTAAGTTCAGTTCTAGAAGAGAACTGTATTGTTAGAATAGAGTATCAAATTTGGCAGCAAACTGACCGTAGTAATTTGCGCACTGAGATTGCCAATTCAGAAGACTTCGTTGATGAATTGTGCAATCATATTTCAAAATTAAAAAGTCATTCTTTCATTGCACAGGAACAATCTGCATTTTTAAAACGAATAAAAAATAATTTAAAAGAAGGAGAATTTCTCATTCTTTGTGATTTTTCTGAAAACTACGGCTTTGTAGCTCAGAATGCTGCTCAAGCGTTTCATTGGAACAACAATCAGGCAACAATTTTCACGACTTGCATTTATTATCAAGCTGCAGATCATTTTCATTTTGAAAGCATTGCTCTTGTATCTGACTCATTGAATCACGACACAGTTGCTGTGTACGAGTTTCAGAAAATAATTATAAAGCATTTAAAAAAGCATGAAAAATTAAAAAAAATATTTTACTTCACTGATGGCGCGTCTCAACATTTTAAAAACAAACACAATTTCTTAAACCTTTTATACCATGAACAGGATTTTAACATTTCTGCTGAATGGCATTTTCATGCAACGGCCCATGGAAAAGGGCCATGTGATGGAATCGGAGGAAATTTAAAACGTTTAGCAGCACGGGCGAGTTTACAAGCAGTAGCTAAAAATCAAATTTTGACGCCAGAAGCTCTGTATCAGTGGGCAAAGGCTAATTTAAAAGAAACAAATGTTTTTTTTAGCTTGAAGACAGATCAGGAGAAAACTGCGAATTTTTTAAAAAAACGTTTTGAAAGCGCAAAAACAATACCGGGTACACAAAAGTATCATTCTTTTATACCCACCTCCGAAATGACTCTCATTTTACGAGAATTTTCGGCGTCATTAGATACAACTATCTTTCCGAAAACTAAAAAATCTAAATAAGCGAGTAGATAAATTCTATTTTAATTTTATTTTTTAATATTTGTTAATCAACTTTATATAATATATTATTTTTGTAAACAAATGATATATTATTGGTAATCAAATAAATATGGTTTCAAGTCCTGCCTTATTATTTTGTATTCGTTTAAACGCATGCGGCAGTGTAGTAGCTATTCGAGGGCTAGACCCGCACGCATTCAAATATGAAAAATTTCCCTTCTACATGTCGGGCCCACTCTAAATTTTTATTTTATTCAAAGGTAACATAATAAACTTCGATTTTATGCTAATTTAAAAAAATTAAAAAATACACATTGTTTAAAAAAATTCAAAATATTGCAAAATTTCAAAAAAAATTGCAATTTTTTTTTTGCAAAAAACGGTATAGCCCATTGAAAAGTACGGAAAAAATCATTTAAGGTGGTTAAATTGAAATATTTAATAAAGAGATGAACAGAAGTTATGAATTTTTAAATAAAAAGCGATTTCACCAAAAAGTAATAAATCGATAAATTTCTATAATTCATAACTTTTGAATGAACAGTCCTAGAGCAAAAAAAATGTATGCTATGATTCTTTGTCATAAGAACAACAAATAAGTAAAGTTTAAACAAAATCGGTGACAAATTTTTTTTCACTTGGTACACTTGGCGAATTTTGCCCCATATATATTTTGTCCAGGCAGGTCAATTTGATCGATTTTTTTTTCCTTTGTGATAGAACAGTGTAATAATATACTGCAAAAAAATTCTATAAGTTTATAAATAACAAAAATAAACTTTAAATAAATAAAACTTATAGGGTTAAACTGAAATAGGGAAGGAACACAAGGAAGAAATGAAACATTGTCCTCCTCCTAACGCATCTTCCTGAACGTTTTATGACACATTGCTTTTGACTTTTTTAAACGTTATTTTTCAGAAAAACTGTTAAATGTAAATATCTTTCGGCATTTGTTTGGAATTTCTATTATGCTATGATACAAAATGAAAATAAAAAATTTAACTTCTAAAACAAGAGTTATATGTAGCGTTTTGTAAAAGACACCAAAAAGTGTACGCAAAAAAATCTTACCTTTAAAATATTTAAAAAAAAATTCACACACTTTACACGTGCTCACTTGTTGTTGCCGAACTATCAAACTGGATGCCCTCTAGAAATAAAACGCTAGTATCTCTATCTCGTGTCTCTATTTCGAAGCAGTCGGCATAGAAGACGACATTAGGAAAAAGAGAAGATTTTTGAATGTCAACTTTAATATTTTTTTCTGTTTAAACTACTTTGTAGAAAACTATTTTAGTTTTATATACTAATAAAAGAACTTTCCATTGTTCAAAAATAATTTATTTTTTCAGAAGAAAGCTGCAAAGAAGAAGAATATAATAATTTAAATTAAAAAATCGCCTCTGGGAACAGTTATGTTACTGGACATTTCACCTAGTTTTTCTGCCATATATACACAGATAATTAAAAAACAAAATACGATGGGTCCTAACAGGAAGGGGGTATTTAAATATAATAAATACAAAACTTATCAACAAAGGTCAAATATAAAAATAAAATTAGCTGGGGACAGCAAATGTACATTTAACGAAAATTTGCCCAAATACCATTCGGGCATCTAATTTTTCCTGTGAAAAAAATCGTTCATGTGCAAAAATCTTGGATTTTTGTTGCCACCAGCACTCATGCTTCTTGTTAAAATATTACTTACCAACGTGTTTTTTCAATTTTTTTCGGAAAAATTATATCCCCTTATGATATTACTTACGATAAAAAGTTGAAAAAAATTTGTTAACCCATTGGGAACATTTATAACAAAAATTTGTTTAATTTATTAATTTTTTAGTACACAATCTTCTACTTTCTCGATTCAGTACAGTAAAATGCATAAAAAGTGGTAAAATTTTAGATTTTTTCATTTTTGGGTTCAACTATAGACTTAAAAAATGAAGCAAATCATAGATACATGTCAGTTTTTTGGGGTCAATTTGGAAGCCCCATTTGCTTCTGTCAAGTATGACGTTAAACAAATACTAAAAGTAACCAAAAGTAACAAATTTGGTCAATTTATTTGGACACTTTATAATAATATAATATTGTTGTTTGTTTTGATGATGATTAAAAATTAAACCACCACTTGTATATGCGATAATCCAGATGTTATTAAGTCATATAAAAAATACATATTTATATTTAATTTAATATAATTTTATATAATTATATATAACTTTTTTCCCGGGTAATTTATACAGGCTCAAAGTTGTCTTTTTTGGGTGCTACACGATGGTGAACAATGGTAAACTTTTGTATGTAATAAAAAAAAACATTAATTTAGGATGAAAAAATTATATTATTTTAGAAATACCTATAACTGTATGTTTATAATTATAGCAACGATGCATTAAATTGTTACAATATGCGCATCATGCGCTCATTTACGTTATTTATAATGCAGACCGCTTTCGAAAACGTCGCTTCTTATCGGTATTAAATGTTTCAGTCTTAAATAGCTGGCTTTAAATTATATTTTATTTTAATAACATCTATTTACATCTCATGCAAAATTATAAATAAAAAAATAAATCGTTTCTCGGGGGGGCTAAAATATAAAATGTTTTAAATTGCTAATAACTATCAGGAAAGTATATTTTTTAATATTTGTTTTATCAATTGGGTACTGGTTTATTATTAATTAAATATAAATTTAAATTCATTTTGCATACTTACATTAATTATTCACAAGGTGAAGTGATTTACCGTATAATATAGGTATATAATATATACCGTATAATATATATTATATACCATTGACTCTTGAGTCAATACTGGTTTTAATTCGTGAACTAAATACTCAAAAGTTTCTTTATAAGATTGTACTTCAAATTCTTAAAAAAATGTAAAATTAACCCTTAAAGCGCGAATAATCCAGAATTATTTTTTGTTTTTTACATGGGATTTGTATGGGTTGGCAGCCGAGGTATTTGATGTTAACGGTACATAAAGAAATAGACAAAACTTGTTTCCCCTACTTCTTACCTGTCTCTTGCGCCGAAGAATTCACCTGAACCTTCAACGTCCAGTAGGTGTTCTTGCGGCATACGAAAGTCAATTGTTTGTTAATGTTCTGTGATTTTTAGATTTACCGTTGTTAAATTCAAATTTCATGTGTTTTTTTCAATTATTACCCGACTTTATTTAATAAAACAGGTAAGTTTTGATACATTTATTTTAATTGTATAGACAATATCTAACTTAATTAATACAAACCTTGGTATGTGCCACTTTGGTATAATATTTTATTAGGTATTTATAATTACCATATAAATGTTGCATGCGGATGTTGTTTAATTTTAATATTTACATTATTGTACAAACTATTTAAGTTTAAATGCCAAATGGTGAAGTTTTTTCTCTATAAACTTATTCCTAGAACGTAAGCAGGTACCCACCTATAAAGAATGAATCAGAATTTATAATCCGGAGGTCTCCCGTATGTTAAGCATAATGGCAACAGTTTGAAATTGGGGTCATAATGACTGATTATGACATCTTCCTCTTCTTAGAGAAACTTTACATTTTAAATTAGTTTTCTGGTATGCATTGCATAATTTATGTTTATAAAGTTGTTTGTTTTACAGGAATTTTATTCTACCACACCCTTCGCGTAAAATATATTTATTAAGTTTTGTTAATGTACTTATTGTATTTATTCAAATCGAAAGGTTAAATATTTGTGTACCCAGGTACCAAATTTAACTGAACATTATTTAACTAAACATTATTTCAACAAATTTTGATTTGAAATAATAATAATACAACAATGGCTCAATTTTTTTCGACTTAATATTACAGCATACTGTAAAGTTAACAGTGTAAACAGTTTTTATTTATAAAAACTGTAAAATTGCGCTGTTCACTAGTCACCTGCTTAGTTGTTCGGTCCCTTTCTATACACGAACCACTATTTTCTCTAATTATACCTTCCATATTTTTGTGAGCACATTAAGCATTAATTATTGCAATTGCGCGAACGACGCGAAGTGAAGTTCTGGCAAGCAGTACTTACCAAGTGTGGAAAAATTACTTTGAGCATGTGTTGGGAACAATATTTTTTCTACAAGCGTGCGAAAAGTTGAATTTTTATATTGAATTAATTTCGTAATATGATTTGATTTTAATTAAAAATACTATTAAAGGCTTCAAGATTAAATATTCTTATTCGTTTATTAACGGATTTAAGTGCGCAAAGTAAGCGTGCGGAAAAGTACAACTTTGCACACGTTAATGCGTATTATAATACTTAAGGTATACTTCGCGCACTATTAATTAAATGTTGATTTATAAATTTTTTAACTAATTATTTCAATACTAACTTTTTAAGTTTTTATTATTATTATGTATTTATATATATATATATATATATACTCGTATATACCTATATATATATATATATATATATATATAAGGGTGCTACAAAAAATAAAATTTAATTTTTTTTTCGCTCTTACCCTCTTAAATGTTTCTATTTAATATAAAAAAATCCTCTCCAAATATGGGCATTCCAGCTCAACTGTAAGAGGTCGCTGTTTTTATTTTATTTTCCCATTTAATTAACATGGGAAAAAAAATTTTATGTTTGGAATTTTATACCTCTGTATCAAAGTAACTTATGGCAATGATTATAGCAGTTTCTTATATAAAATGTAACGCTCTACAAAAAAGGTCTCTTATTATTATTCGATAAATTGATTTCTTCTAGAGTTATTCGAGGTCAAAGTTAACATCAAATTTTCTGTTTTTTTTTTTTTAATTTTTTATGTTAATTAAATGGGAAACTAAAATAAAAACAGCGGGACGCCCATATTTGGTGAAGATTTTTTTATTTTAAATAGAAACATTTGAGAGGGTAAGAGCGAAAAAAAAATTAAATTTTATTTTTTGAAGCACCCTAATATATATAATAATATATACCCTAATATATATATATATATATTAGGGTGTTTTATTTAAAACGAACAATTTTTTTTTCTTGCTGACACATAAAAATTTTGTTTTTTAGGATGAAAAAAAAATTCCCTGAAAATATGAGCCCTTAATTTTGATTCTAAGTACTTCCTTTTTAATTTTGTAGTTTTTCCATATAAAAAGCATGTATTTTTAATCATTTTTACTTTAAATTTCTATATTTTGGCCGGGTTTTGAATTATAATTTTTATCACCATAATTTTCTGCATAGTATTCACGGTTTTTGGAAGGCCCTGCATCAATTTTGTTTTTGATTTATTTACGTTGATTGTAGTAGCTCCAAAAGTCGTTTTTTTCACTTTTTCTCACATATTTTTAAGAAAATCGAGCGAATGACTGGTTTTACCAAAAAAGTTCAAATGAAAAAGTTGTAGGAAATTTAATTTTTGACAAAAAAGGTTCTTACGTTCATATCACTAAAGTGCTTTGTTTAAGAGATATAAGCAATTCAATAACCAAAAACAAAGAAAAAGTAGGTTTTATTGAAATTTATGTATAATATAATATACATACATTCATACCTTATTTTTTTAATCCTTTTAAATAATGCGATAAAACAATTATTGTAATCTCAAATATCTCGGAAACGGTTTATTTTATCGAAGTTTGAGAGGTACACCTTTTTAATGGTAGCCGAACTGTTTAATCGATAAATTGCATCAAATGTTACAAAAACTTAACCTCAAAGTTTGTATGGGACAATAAGCTTAAAGCAACCCCCGTTTCTACGGCACTGTGTTCACTCAAACAATTGTAATTATGTGTGAATATGTGTTTTGGTAGTAAGTGACTGTTCGCAAAATATCACCTTTCCAAGTCTACCATAGTAGAAGTTATATTAAAAAAACTGATATGATAAGTAACACTTTATCACCCTGTAACTTTTAAACATACGTTATTAGGAAAAATATTTATTTAGATTTTCGTCTTATTTTGACTTGCTTAATCTGCTCCTAAATTTATGCCACTAAGTTTAAGGACACCTTGTATATATATATATATATATATATATATATAGGTATTATATATATATATAAGGTATTATAAAATTCGAGAATAAACTTGGACTACTTTATAGGAGTTAATTGTACATTCCTTTATATTTAAGCATAATTCTACTAGCTTTACTAACAGGAACATTATTTACCACTTTAATAGAATAAGTAGAATAAGTAAAATACAAACTTAAACTGGAGCATGCATGTAGCAATTAAGAAAATACGTGTTCTTATATAATTGTCTAACTGTTGATATTAGGTACTTGTTGATTAAAAAAGTTTTAAAATATACATACATAAGATTAACAAAAGTACCAGTTTAGGTTTTATTTTATAATATTACCTATTTCTATAGCCATTTTGTTAAAAATCCGTTTATCTATTGCTTGACCCCAAATGCACTTGGTAAAAGTATTTTACTAAAAGAACGGTCCATGTTATCGTCTTGGAAGAAGGGGGACATCAAATGCCCAGTTAATTACTGTCCGATGTTTTTTTAATAAATTGCTTTACTACTTAGAAGAAAATATTTTGACAATTATTTTGAGGGATTAATTTTAAATCGGCCTTTAACCTTTTACATATTCATATTTTAGTACTTCGATTCGTGTTTTTTGTTTGCCAAATTTTCTTTTTGATTTGGATCACTCAATAGGAAAAGTCTTAATTCGAAACGGATCCGACAATTTTTAAGGAATGAAATACCGCCCCAAGGCAACTTCTTCCCAAATTTCTCTTCGTAAGCTTTTTCCGGTAAACGGACGAAATTGGACCGAAAAAAATGTTGAAAAGTAGGTGTGGACGGAACAATAGGGTGATAATTCGAGTTTTTACCGTTATCGGTTTTCGAGCCACCGAGATTCGTGAAAAAGTGATTTACAGGCAACAGAAAAAACTTTTTTCAGAATTCTATTGCAAGTCGATCAATACATTTGAAGGAACCTACATCTAGCTGTGCTTCTTTACACTCTTTCATCATCGGCTGTCGGCGCTATATATACTTTATAAATTTTTATTTTACCTATAATTCTTATCCTCTATCTTGCCCTTGGCTTAGACCGTTCCTCATTACTGGCGGTTTCTTCCGATGGACTTGGAACTCGAAAATTAAGTTATATTTATTTTTATAAATTAGTCGTAATATTTTAATTTGTTCAAATCGAAAAGTACTGACCTAATGACTTTGACAATTTACGAGTAGTACAATTTACCAAATCCAAACTTTTTGTTTTCTCACTTACAATAAAATATCCAAACAATTTTACTTGAACTAGACCATTTTAACTTTGATTAGCCCTTAAGGCAATTTATTCCGCATTTTTTTATATTGTTTTGGATTTAGAGTAAAAAGAAATAAATTAAAACCTTTCTTCTGAACCCGTTACATTTACGATAATATGCACAGAAAAACTTAATAATAATAAAATTTATTCATAAATTTATAAAACACCATTTGTTTATAAGTGTGGTAAAATAAAAAACTGATGAGACCCAATAAAGGTCGAAACAGCTATCTATTGGTATTTGAAGTTGGTGGAACGCACTCAAAACAAAAAACTATTAAAATATATGAGAATAATTATTTAAAAATACAATAATACAATTAAACATAATTAATCAAGAGTCTTGATTCAAGACATAGGATAGGTACCTACTAATATTGAAATATTGTAAAAATTGTAACGTTATTATACCACTTTATAATAAGCAAAGGCTTGTGCAATTAATAACCTTAAATACGGCGGAGGTGCTCGGTCACCTTTTTTTAAACACCACATTTATTCATTTTGGAGTTTACGTTTCCAAAATATTTGGCATCGAAATTGAAAATATTGACTTTTCTGTACACATACATAGTATTGGTACATTTTTCATATATTTACCAAGATAATTTTTAGTTTCAATCTTATAGAATGGGAAAAATTGAATCTTGTATTTTATAAATTTAAATTATTGGTATTTTTATAACTAGTGCATATTTCGGAATTTCCAAATGTTAAGATTTAATTTTGCATAATACTTTACACAGATTGTCACAATAGTGTTTATGTTAAGGTTAATGTTAATGGTAATGTTAATGTTAATATCCAAAGCATAGAAAAATGCGTGTATCCGTTCACAATGATTGTATTACCATTAAACGGATACACGTATTTTTCTATGCTTTGGATATTAACATTAACA